TCAGTGAAACAAAATTTTCGAAAAAATGCCACTTTGTTTGCATGGTTTTTTTCATAGTCTTATATATAAAGCTAAATGTCTGTATGTCTGTCTGTATGTCTGTACGTATGTGCGGAATAGAAATTTTTATTTCTGAACCGATTTGGACCAAACTTGGCACACATATACTTCGGGGCAGGGAGCGTGTCATAGGCTACTTTTCGTTATCGATCGATATCGATTTTATCGATTTTTTGCAAAATTTGAGCTACGGGGCTGGGAGTTGGCACAGGGGGGTAATCGAGCAGGATGATTACGAATATAATAATGACAGGGCCGGGCGGAGCCGGGTTTGCCAGCTAGTTTCTCATATTTTTCACTTGCAAAATAATGGGCATTTTTTCTCTGGATATGTGCTCGTGTTACAGACGTGGTGACAGTTACTGTGTAGATAAATGAAACTTTACTTTCCTTCATTCACTCTAAGCCCGAATGTGTAGTTGATGGAATGAGGGGAATAGAATAAGCATACCGTAAAAAAAGAAATCTCAGAATAAGCAAAAATCAAAGAATGAGCAGATTCTACGCAACAACCATGTCAGAATCCGGTAACTCATTATCAGTAAGCCATTTTGGATGATTTCGATACAAGTTCTTTTCTATGAGACACACTAGATACAGCCCATAAATGCGGCGCTGCTTCCAGTAATAGCCCTTACTGCAACCGATATTTTGTGCAACCGTTGATGACAATTTCTGCAGTCTCTTTTTGAGTTGCATTCTGAAAATTCGAGAAAAAATAGGGAGGCACAATGGAGTAACCTTTGATTTTAACTGGCTTGGCGGCTAGAAGGCGGGGTTTCGTGACCTATTAAGGCCGCTCGCGCCCGCGACGCAGTCTGCGTCTCTCCCGGGCGCGTGCTCTCTGATTACTACCCAGCCTTAATCAGTCACAAAGCCCCACCTTCCAGCCGCCAAGACAGTTAATTCAAAAGGTACAATTTGCGGAACTTACTCTTCTACAAATCCTATGACACTGATATTGTAACGCGAGCCAACCAAGTATGCTTTTCGTTCCTTTGCTATGCGTCTTATATCCTCTAGTCTCTTCACTCTTTGTGTAGCGACATCATTACGGATTAAGGCAGCATACATTTCCAGTGTGCAAAAATATTCCTGGAATATGTTAATGCTGCACATGTGATTTTTTGGCGTATAAGTGGTCCTAAATCTCTTTAGACCCTTACCAAATTCGCAGGAAGAAACTGCTGCAAACGATGCCGAAGTTTTTCATCTCTTGTTTTGCGGTGCTGGCTAAAAGCTCTCCATTTGTAGTCGCATCTAGTCTCATGCGTTCTGGCAGCAACTGCTGCGAAGAGAACCTGCAGTTATGATATAAGAGGCTGGAATTTGCGATGGAAAAACCTACAAATAGCACGAGGCAGTAACTCATGGTAGAGTAAATGTAGCCGGGTCCATCTAGACTAATATAGCAGCGTTTTCAGAAAATTACTTTGCAATTTTTCATTTAAAAAATCAGTTTTCGAACTTTTGATACACTCCATGAATGCAATCACTCGTAACGGAAAATTTGTCACTTCATTAGTAATCGCTCTTTTGCTCTCAGATCCGTAGAAACAATAGTACTGTCCTCTAGTGCATGCTTATTAAAAGCAGGGCCTAGCACGAGGTGAAATTTGAGAATTTTGAAAACGAATTTTTCTTTGGCATTGCAGTATACTAAGATATCTTTTGCGGTATTTGTAGAAGTACGGCTAACAACCTCCCGCGCAACCTGGAAGCACCCTGTGGTTGCGCGGAACCAAACAAGGTCATAATTAAATCCCTTTTCACATAATTTTCAAATTTTTTCTACATAAATCCATTCTTCAGTTCCAACGAACAAGGAAAATCGAAAATAGAACAGCAATACGTTAGAACAAGGCGGTTTTTATACAAAGGCCAACAATGCAGAAGAGACGACATTTGGGTTAAGATAAATTTTCGTAGGTAGAATTGGAACAGAAGAATAGATTTATGTAGAAAAAATTTGAAAATTATGTGAAAAGGGATTTAATTATGACCTTGTTTGGTTCCGCGCAACCACAGGGTGCTTCCAGGTTGCGCGGGAGCAACCCAAACTAGAAAAACACTTACAGCTCCTTTCATTTACATAATTTTTTCATAATTTTTCATACATTCCTTTTAGTCGTCGCCGCGAAAGTACACACCAAATTTGGTGGCTCATTATTGCTTACCGGTCGTAAACGGATTGATTATTTATTTTTTTCAGGCATAAAGATTGTGTTTTAACACGTTAAGATGGCGTGCACACGGGTTTAAGCACTTGTCATGTTTGTAACGTGTAACCTACATGTTACTGTGAAAAAGACGTCGGAGTTGAAATAAGGGCTTACTAAGGGTTAGCTTTGTGCTTAATATTTTATCAGATTTCATGAAACCACCCCTGGGAACTTTACGAAATTCAAAAAACGATATCCAGCTTGTGAAAGCGCCACATTCGCTGAGCCCTGCACTAAAAGAGTCTATGACTCTCAAAAGGTTGCATTACCAGGCTCGGCACAGGTGGCTTACAGGACAAACTGGATATCGTTTCGGGATAAAAAGCAAGGGATATCGTTGAAGCGGAAACCCCAGCCCCCCCCCCCCCCCCGACACACACACACAATCGCCTTCTGCCTTCATGTCAAACATCTTCTGTAAAAGACGCAAATTGTCATTTCAGCCTTATCGATCTGCAAAAACCAAAAATTTCCTGTTCCAACATGTTCGCAGGTTAAAGACAGTGTCCAGGCAAGTCTGGTCGCATGGCTCTTTCGCATGAGGGGCTCCTAACTAAGGCACTGCCCAAGGGGCAGCGCAGATTGCTCAATCACGGCTGAGAAATTCGTCCTCGAAAACCCCGCGCCTGCGCCATGACCGTAACCCAAAAACGACTTCGCTCACTTTAACATTACAGTCTTTAATCCGGAGTAGGCGAAATATTCCAAATGTAGCACCGCGTCCGCACCGCTACTAACTGAACGAGATAGATTAGAATGAAGAGACGCAGACTGCAAAGCGGCGTGAATCGTTGCGAAGCAGACTCCAGCCAGTCCAGTTTCCGCCTGAACTGAGCTGAAAATAAATTACTATACATTCTGCGACCAATCCCAAGTGTTTCTGTCACGGCGCAGCAGCGGAGTGTTGTGGATGGATTTCTCAGCCGTGAATGAATCATTTGTGCTGCGGTTTGGGCAGTGCCTTGGCTAGAGCCTTCTCGACAGTTTCCAGGCAATATATATGCCCAGATTTGCCTGGACACTGACTTTGAGCGCGCGAATTCAAACTCACCCCGAAATAAACAAAAGACTTGTTTACAGCGAAGAGAAAATGAAATGATACCAAAATTGTTGTGTAGATGGGCAGTAGGGAGTTGCGACTATGCGCGAAAAATTATGAAAAAGTTATGTGAAATGAAGGCGTGGCATTCCAGCCACATGGATAGCCACCTGAGGTGGCTGTGAAAAGGAAAAGTCATATATTTTTCTTCCCTCACAGAATTTTTTCACATATCTAACACAACCTTGTTCTGCATCAAAGACCCTACAACTGAGTTTTTGGTTCTCCTAAACTCCCTCTTCCCCACCTAGTTACAGCCCTCCAAATATCTTGTATGGCGGCGGCAAGCCTGCTCCAAGCGCGCAGGGGTGCGCGCCGGACACAGCATGCCGCTAATTCGACGAAAACAAACATCTTCAGTTTTTTCGTCTGTTCGATGTTGGTTTTATGTTGTCCCATTATTTTTTCGTTATTCATTTTGATCCGTTCATGACCGCTTCATAGGTGGTGGGAGCCTACAAGGACTTCGTTTTTGAAAAATTGAAAAAGCCACCTCATGCCGAGCCCTGCGCATTACTTCTGCCGAAGTGCAGCAATCAAAAATTGTCGATTGCAATAGATTAAATCGCTGAGCTAGCATTTTATAGAAGTATAAGGAATTCCACTTTTGACCCAGCTCTACAGTGTTGGTTTCTTTTTGAGGCATGAGCAAAACTTTTCGAAAAAATCCCAAGAAGAAATTTTAGAGATTGGAAATTCGTCGAATTTCACGTGTTTTTTCAATCTATTTTGAAAATTCTCTGAAATGAATGCTCGTTCAAAGCTGACCGCATGTAGTTACATACTTGCGAATGCAAAACCACAGGGATACTGAACAGAAGTAAGGGCCAAGGAGGATGACTGGGGGAGGGGGGGGGGGGGTGGGAATACGCTCAGCTCTGCGACATTTCCAGTACGATTTATCATCTCATTTGTTCATGTGCCTTGCACATCGCAACTCCAGCTCTTCAGTAACGATAAGTCCAGGTCTTCCGTACATCTCCAGGCACTCCGTGTCATCGTTTTCCACATAGTTCGAAGAATTGGATAAATAAGTGTCTAAGCAAGTACTTTACAAAAAACAGAAAATCATAGTAGGGCTAATGAGCTATACCATTCGCGACGGCAGAGGTTGGTAGGTTAAGTGAGCGAGTTTTTTTCACGAATATTACTCAGTTTCTTCTTTGCTACGACAGGTAACTGAGTAATATTCATCAATCATGCCAAGGCTTGAAAGCAGAACTTTTGAGTTTATTGTTTTTTTTTCCTTTCTCATTTTTCCATTTTTCTCCGCTTTAAAGGGCCATCTAACGATAAATCACTGATGGGTGGGTTTGGATTCGAACCCCGCGATTAAGGAAACATGAACTTTCATGCACATAATAATCAAGAAATCTCTTCAAAAACTTTTTTCTGCATCCATAGAACAGATTCCCAATTCACCCGCGTTGCTCATGGTCTTATTCGTCCCGGAGACATCTTCATCTTCTGTAAAAAAAATAAGCGTTAGTTCGCGGATTGCAAACCACCTAGCATGAGAATTTGCTTCGCTAATGAAGTAACGTGCTTCATACAAAAGTGCAAAAAAGTTTATTTTTGGTATAAATTATTTACATAAAGGCATTATATACAGTTCTTCTCTATTTTGTTGCCACTGGAGTGACTCGTAGTGGTTGCGGTTTCGGTAGGAGAACCATAGCACAGATCGGATTCATGTCCACGGGTTTTCCCTCAACCGGCTCAATCTGCAATATTACCGTATAATTTTCACAGAAATCAGGTCGGGGTTCTTCTCAAAATAACCTTATAGTGTTGTAGCATGGTAACCAATCCAGCGAAAAGCTCCGCCTTGGCCAAAGCTTCTCCTGCACACTGCCTTTTTCCGATAGAAAATGGACACATCTGCTCGACCGTTTCCTGGAACGATTTATATTATCTGTCTGTTTATATAATTTAACTCAATGCACCTTATTAGGTGTGATCCCATCATCCATCAAGAATCTTTCCGGTCGGAATTGCATAGAATCCTTGAAAACGGGAGAATGAGCCATGACATGGTAAATATGCCCAATCACATAGGTGTTTGCTGGAATTGGAATGGAGCCAATGCTGGTGTCCCTGGTAGTACGGTGGTTCACATTTAGTGAACTAATATTAGCACATCGCTGAATCTCGTGAATAGTGGCCCTAAAAACATAGAGTTGTTTTTCATTACAGTTTTATGCCCGTGCCAGCGCCGTGTTAGCTCCAGATCGCCGCCCGATCAATACGGGCGGTACGCTTGCATGTTCCGGCACGTCGTTGGCGCAGCTCCGGCATGCGACCACTCTGGACGCATGCCGGAGTAACTATGGTTACTCACATGGTATATGGCATTTGACTCTTGTAGTTGGAGGTTGGTTTCCGATCTGGTCCAAGAACAGACATGATTTCTTGACGAATTTTGTCCTGTAACGGCATGTAGTTCATTATAGTCTAGAATGCGCGATCGATTATGTGTGCGATTTCACCAATAATACGCAGTTGTGCAGAAAAAAAACCAAACTACTACTAAGGACGTATATCGTCTCGCTCTTTCTCGAATTCTTTATATTTGACCAAATATTCTGTTTCGATCATTTGAACGATTCTAAGTCTGTTGGAAAAAAATCCTTGCGCGTTCTGCTTTGACTGTCTTCTAGTGGAAGCTACTGTTGGAGTCGAAGCGTAGGAACATTCACTTTAATTTTGATACTGCGCAAAATTTTCTGTTGAACAAAACGTGGAGTAGCCAAAGCTATAAAATTTCATAAGGTTCTTCTTTGATTTTGAACTGTTTGCGCCGGACGAATGCCTTTGTGCATTCCAACAGACATGTATGGCAAAGGGATTAATTTGCTTTGTTATTTTACAAAGAGCATAGACCTTTATAGGGATTTACTCGAGGTTACAGTTATGCTAAAGAATAAAAATTCAGATCAACTTGTTTGTCCATTTCGATTTCAAACACAGTGCCTATCACTGAGCCATCCAAGTCCCATACTTTCTTATCTCTAACAAAGTAAAAATGAATTAGAAAGAAGGTATGAGCAACCTAGATTCATTGTGATAGCTTTGGGTGTTAAGAAAAACACTCGATAAAGCTCAAGCAACCAGATTTTGGATCAGGGGTTTATCTTATCATTCTGCTATAGCAAATCGCGTAGCCAACTTATACTGCAATTTTATAGAACCCCCTTCACATTTATCCGAGTGAAAATATATAAATTTTCAAAAGTGTGACTTACTTGAATAGACTGATTAGTAGCCATAAATAGCGTGCTCCACCTAAGTGTGGTTGTAGTTGTTTCCATCCCAGCCAGGTAGAAATCCATGCATACATTGAGAAGGTTTCCATAACTAAAAAGTTTTGACATTCTCTTCCATGTTATTTTCCTACCTTTCTTTTTTTTTCACGCAAACGACTCACTCTAAATTCTTATTTGTCTGCATTTTCTGATAATAAGCTTGCACGAAGCACTCTGGCTCGTCGTCTGGGTTGTAATTTTTCAAACTGCGTTCCACATCTTCCTTAATGTTCTTCAGCATCTGAAGAAGAGAGCAATAAAATGTGTCCTTTGTATGTTGGACACAAACCCCAGATATCATGCGCTCAAATCTTCCTTTTGCCCAATAACCGATAACAGGTACATGAAATAGGAAAGGGAACATCTGAGCGAACATTGTCAATCTGCTCTTGCTATAAAAATTTGATAAAGGTGGTCTTGAGAGCAGCTGAAGTCAAGCTGACCTCATAGCGTTAAATAATTCGGTTAACTGGTCAGCGTGACCCATCAGACGGTCGCTATTGTCATAGTCGCAGCCGAAGCCGAATAGCGTCTTGTTAATGATGTTGGCGATGAACACCTGCAAAATATCATTTTTCACAGTGAATATGCTGTTAACCCTTTGCATAATATACCCATGTAGGCGCCCCACAAAGGTCGGTTGCCTCATCGTGGCGTGGGGGTGACACTGGGTGTCGAACTGCGATGCACAGCCGAGTGTATACACTAGCAGGGTCTCCCAAGCTGTGAAGGAGTTCGACGTTTCCGGTCTCGGCCGGATGCCTAGCTAAGCCGTGTGGCTTCTTCTGGTCGCTAGGCGGTTCTCCCCGCTCGCCCCGTGGAAATCAAGAGTTGGCCTAGTAAGTCTGCTCTTGTAGGGGAACAAATCTTGTTACTCAGACAGCAAGAGGATATAGAAGAAACCCTGTACATCGGATCCCGTCTACGGCGCCGGGTGATAGCAAGAACGATGTCATGGTCCTTAGGGCGCCTTTTGGGACGACACGCCATGGAGAATGCCTCATGCTCTGCACCTACAACGCCAGGACAGTCTCCACAAACGCCGACCTCCACGCTCTTCTCGACGCTGCAGAGCACATCAAGTACCACATCATCGCTCTGCAGGAAACGAACTCCAAAAAGACGGACGTGCGACAGATGAATGATGGGACGCTCATCATTCGTGGTGAAAAGGTTCCATCACGAAACGTTGGAGGCGTTGGCTTTGTCGTCCACCCATCTATCGTCATCTTGTCGATTCGCATGAGATCCTGTCACCTCGACTGGCCATCTTACGACTACGACCTCCACGTAGACCATCAGCATCATCGACTTCTACTCACCAACATCAGCAGCTGACGAATCAGAATTAGATGCTTTCTACGAAGACGTGGAGCAGGTCGTCCGCAACGAGAAGTTCTTCTACAAGTTCGTTGTGGGCGACTTCAACGCAAAGATCGGGATGCCACTAGAAGAGGAATACAGGATTAGGAAGTTTGGATATGGGCGTCGAAACGAGAACGGCAACCGTCTCGTTGGGCTTCTCTCCGCCGCACGACTTTTCCATGGGAATTCCATCTTCATGAAGAAGAACATCGCCGGTGGACTTGGGAATCGCCCAACGGAACGACTCACGCGGAGATCGACCACTCAGATAATCGCGGGGGCAGGCGGCCATGCGATTTATGGGCGGGCGGGCACCGGAAAAAAAGTTCGCTGATTTCTTGCGGTCCGCTTGCAGATATTGGAAAGAATTTTAGCGAAATTTTGGACGAATGCTTGAAGAACAATTGCGGTTTCCTTGCAGATTAGCTGCGGCGCAGTGGCCGCATTCTCGCGGACTTTCCGCGAGAATATGCAGAATTTTCGGGGGCCGCACGGTCCTTTGTGGAGGACCGCGCAGCCCCCAGGTACTTCCCGCTGAGAGAAAGTACCTCAAACTTGAGTAATTAAACCATCGATGACTCCTCTGCCATGTAGAGTCTCACCTTCTCAGATAATCGCCGGGGGCAGGCGGTCCGCAAACTCGCGCTTTTCTGCAGGCGGTCAGCAGGATTTCGGGGCGTGGCCAAATCTTCAGCGGGCGGTATTTGCGTTTTCTGCAAGCGGGCATCAATACAAAATTTTCTGCAAGCGCTCGTCAAACAATCTCTTTCAGCGAGCGCTGGCCAAACTTTCAGCAGGCGCTCAGACTCTTTTTACGCAGTTTCGGGCGTACGCCGAGAAAAGATGAGACTCTATGTGGCAGAGGTGCCATCGGTGGTTTTATTACCCAAGTTTGGGGTACTTTCTCCCAGCGGAAAGTACCTGAGGGCTGTGCGGTCCTTCAAAAAGGACCGTGCGGCTCCCAATAATTTTGCATGTTCTCGCGGAAAATCCGCGAGAATGCGGCCACTGCGCCGCAACTAATCTGTAAGGAAACCGCAATTGTTCTTCAAGCATTCGTCCAAAATTTCGCTAAAATTCTTCCAAATTTCTGCAAGCGGACCACAAAAAATCAGCGAACTATTTTTCCGGTGCCCGCTTGCTCAAAATTCGCATGGCCGCTTGCCCCCGGCGATTATCTGAGCAGGTGTACGCCGAGCAAAGGTGAGACTCTATATGGCAGAGGTGATATCGATGGTTTTATTACCCAAGTTTGGGGTACTTTCTCTCAGCGGAAAGTACCTGAGGGTTGTGCGGTCCTCCAAAAAGGACCGTGCGGCTCTCAATAATTTTGCATGTTCTCGCGGAAAATCCGCGAGAATGCGGCCACTGTGCCGCAACCTAAGTGTAGAAAAACCGCGATAGATCTTCGAGCGTTCGTCCAAAAATTGGCCAAAATTATTCCAAATTTCTGCAAGCGGACCACAAAAAATCAGCGAACTATTTTTCCGGTGCCCGCTTGCTCAAAATTCGCATGGCCGCTTGCCCCCGGCGATTATCTGAGTTTGCTCGGCGTACACCCGAAACTGCTTAAAAAACGTCCGAGCGCCAGCTGAAAATTTGACCAGCGCTCGCTGAAAGAGATTATTTGACGAGCGCCTGCAGAAAATTCTCTGTTGCTGCCCGCTGGCAGAACATTAGACAGTAAAGGAAGTGCCGCCCACTGAAGGTTTGGCCACGCCCCAAAATTCTGCTGAGCGCCTGCAGAAAAATGCGACTTTGCGGACCGCCTGCCCCCGGCGATTGTCTGAGCACATTCTCACCAACCAAAGGTGTAGCTTGCTCGATGTCTCAGTAGTTCCATCCTTCTGCAGTGGCTCCGGTCATCGCCTCCTTCGAGCGAAGATACGATTCAATCATGGGCTGGAAAAGTAAGTCTATCACAGTACCCCAAGAAGGAAGAATGTCGTTTATGACGATAACAGGCTGGAAGAGCTCATATCAAGTTGTGACTGGCCCATCGAGGAGGACCCAACGTAAGACTACGACCGGCTTCTGGAAGGACTGAGAGCTTGCGGAGAGTATGCCTCAGTGACTTCTGAGAAGAACTTGGAGCGCATTTCGAAGACCACCAAGGAACTGCTCAAAAAAAGAAGATTTCTGAGACAGGATCCGAATGCAACTCATCTCGAGCGACTGATAGCCAACGCCAGTTGCAGAACAGCTTTGCAGGACGATCTCAGAAAGCAAAGCCAAGATACTGGAAGCAGCCGAAGGAAGACGAAGTCTCAAGAAGTGCCGAAGGGACCTCTGCGAATATCATGTACCGCTGGCTGCACTATTGAACGAAGACGGGACTCAGACTTCTTTCCGATATAAGATGGAATTCATCGTGAAGAACTTCTACACCAACCTCTTCCGCTCATCAACACCCGTGCCGATGCCCGCTGTTCCCGCTGGAGAAGTACCACCAAGGATTCTGCCTGCTGAAGTGCGTATTGCGATACAGACTATGAAGACATTCATGGCTCCAGGCAGGGCCCGGCACAGATCGTCTGGAAGCAGGCTGGACTTCGTTTTTGAAGCAAACAGCAAAGGGGATATCGTTTTTGACGAGTCTGAATTGAGCACCAAGAATAAGCGCCATTTAGTCGAACACAAGCTTTTCGGACAGGTTATCACACGATTGACATGCTCTATCGTGCATGGCGAAAAGTGCGCGCGATTTGAAAGCAAGGCTTAAATGAACAAATTGCTTGTTTACAGCGCACACAGAAGCAAATGACACCAAAATTGAACTGTATGTATAGAAAATTATTTGCGAAAGTATTATGTAAAAAGATTTGAAAACTTATGTGAAAATAATACCTTTTCCAAAATTAGATCGTCTCCAGACGGCCACCAGACGATCTGAGATCGTCTGAAACATATATTTTCGTCAATTCACATAAGTTTCGGATCTTTTTAGCATGGACGGATTCCCCGGTCAAAAATCTATCCCTGCGCATGAAGTCATTTTCAAATCATTGCCTTTCCTTTGTTTTTTCCCTTCATTTCTTTTCGCTTTGTTAAATATGCCAAACGCTCTAATGCCAAAGTCTTGTGCATGCTTAGTATTCAGCTCCAATTTGGATTTTCACTCTTATCTTACATCTTTTCTTTCAAACTGGTAGATCTGTCTTGTTTTCATTCTCTCCTAAGCAGGTAGGTCAAAGGGGACTTCGTAAAACTTCCGAAAGTCAGGGGAGATTTCGTTTTCAGAAACCCTAGAAACCGACCCGTGTCGGGCCCTGGCTCCAGGACCAGATCATCTTTCCGTCGAATTTCTGCGAACCGGAGGACACCATCGAGGTTCTAACGTCGCATTTAACATCTTACCTTTAGAAGGGGAAGATTTCCGACCAGTGGAGAACATCAAGAACCGTCCGTCTCTTCAATAAGGGCGAACGGGAGGATCTTCGGAACTACCGTTCAATATGCTTGCTGAGTGTGCTGTACAAGCTTTTCACGAAGATTATTCTCGCTCGCATATCTAGGACTTTGAATGAAGTTCAACCTCAAGAACAAGCTGGATTCCGCAAGGGATTCAGTTGCATGGACCACATCCAGACGGTTTCGAGGGTCATAGAAGTCTACCGGGAATACAGACTGCCTCTCGTCCTAACCTTCATCGACTACGAGAATGCTTTCGACAGCGTCGAAACGAACGCCATTCTATCAGCGTTAGTCGATCAAGGAGTGGAACCAACTTACGTGAGGACACTAGCCGACTGCTACAAGATCTGTGCAACAACGATGCAGCTATTCTCGCCCCCTAACCATTCCAATTGGGAAGGGGGTTCGACAAGGCGACACTATTTCGCCGAAGCTGTTCACCGTGGCCTTGCAGTGGGTGATGAAATTACTGGACTGGGACGAGGGAGGCGTATGAGTTGATGGGAGATTCCTGTCAAACCTTCGTTTTGCCGACGACATCGTTCCCTTTTCGAGCAGTATCACTGAAGCAGAGACGATGCTGAAGGAACTATATGAAGTAGGGAAGAAAATCGGATTGCGAATAAATCGGAAGAAGGCTCAGTTCAAGAGAGACACCCTTTGCGAAGATGCAAAAATGGAATTGGAAGGCACCCCGATTATGGAGACGTCTTCTTACGTGTATCTCGGACGTTCGATGAGCATGGAGAACTACTTGAGGGAAGAACTTTACAGGAGAAGAAGAGCAGCCTTGGCCGCCTTCGGGCCTCTGAAGGAAGCCACCGACCAACTGAGGGACCGGAGCTTCGTACCCACCTGTTCGACTCAACCGTTCTCGCGGCGCTCTGTTACGCAGCTGAGACTTGGGCTGACACCGTAGCCACGTCGAAAGCTTTACGGACCACCCACAGAGCGCTCGAGCGCAGTCTTCTGAAGATGACCCGAAACAAGCAACATCTAATTGGACTTCGCAGTATGGATATGAGAAGATTGTCCCGTCTTCGTGACCCAGCGGATTACGTTGCGAATGCGAAACATTGGTGGGCCGGTCACATCATGAGAAGAACAGACGACAGACACTAAGAACATCTGAGTGAATTCCTTGCGAAGCCAAACGTCCTCGAGGAAGACCACCGACGAGATGGGCAGACGTGTTCGTGGAACGGATGGACCAGCTGAGAAATCAGTTGGATACGATTTTCGCACCTGGAACTCGTGGACGCAGACACCGATGTCAATCAAGAAGATCGTGGATGTCTGAAGCGAGGGACAGGGATCGATGAAAACTTTTGTGCTGAGGCCCGCACGCCACGTGAAGACGGGCCATCTAATTTTAAGTATCTAAGTACCCATGTAAGCAAGATTGGGTGATTTCTTCTTCTCCCCCCCCCCCCTCCTCCTCCCCTCGGCTCGCCACTGGAGCGAGTATATATGAGACTTGGAACAGGAAAAACAGGAATGTAACAGGAAGAGTTGCAGAAAGCATGAGCATACAAAAGGGGCGTGGCCTAAGGCGAAGACAAGTAATTATACTTGAAAACTTGGCCGCACTGCCCTCTCATACTCCATCTCCCTCTTCTCTCGAATCTCGACTATCCATAGCTATCGAAAAGAAAAACAAAAATTGAGAACTGACGATGCTGAAGCAAGTTTTTCGCAACTTTTCTGACAAACTTTGAATTGAGGGAGGAGTAGGAAGTAGAGGAAATGGTACCTCTACAAGATGATTCTCATTGATTCGGAATACCTTTATTTCTGGTTATTTCGATCTTATCATATTAGTATGAGTGTTAGTTAACCTGAACTGGATGCCGAAGATCAATTGCGTCTTTGTCCTTGATGGATTCCATGTGGGCAAGAAATTCTTGGGCGGATAGAAGGATCTAAAATAATCTTTGAATCAGATTCTAATGTCTTGCCTTGAGAGCGTGTTAATTGCGATGTTTTCTTTGTTCTCGTATGCGTACCTGCTCTTCCATCAGATTTTTTCCCATGCCAAAATCTCTTAAAATATGAATTGATGTTCGTCTTTGTTCCTTCCAATTATCACCCTGAAGGTCATCTATCTATATTGTTACACTTGATCTTATGACATTCTGACGTCATTCTCTGATTAGTGATAGATCGGCAAATTAATTGGTTCTTGGTCGTAGTTTTCACCAACCTGAGAGAAAATAACTCCTCCATTTTCGACGTTTTGAAAAAGGGTATCGGGAAACGCATTTGTTCTTCCAGAGAAGTCATCACCTAAGTAGATCATGAATAGATGGCGCTAAAAGATCTTGGCAAATGATTACTGTAGACTCTTACCTTTCTTGGAAAATGCTTCCTTTATAAGGTCGTAATCTGTGATAACCACATGTGGTAACGGTAACCATATTGTGTACACATTACCATATATCTTTGAATATTCGGAAAGATTTTCATGTAGTCTTCGAAAATCTACCTGCAAAATTCCTCAAGTCATATTTTGAGGGATTTTTTCAGATCTGTCTATTACCGATAGCAGATTCCCAAAAAGTGGAACAGGTGTGGGTCCTTTTGGGTAGCGTTTCACATTTTCGTAGAAAAGCCATATACAGAGACCAAGAGCGCTGATTAGGAATAGAATTACTAACAAGAACATTCTGTCGGCGATTAGTCGACCCTGGCGCTGTTCTTATACCCGAGTCACCAAGTTTTTGGTCTGTGCGCTACAGAAAAAAGCGCGGGCGCCACATTGAAGAGATGTGCTAGGAGTGTAAAGATACGGAAAACAGGCGAAAAGGGATAACCATGGTCTTTTGACAGCATCAGGTTACTGATTAGATATGGAAAAGTTCGCGCACGTCGGCTCTTAAAACTTTGCTCGATCAAATTCCGTGCACTTGAATGACCGTAGCAAGCTAGTGATAAAAGCGTCGTTTTTTTTGTTACTGCGTAGAGAACGAACTAATTAATTATTGCTGCTATGATGTTCAAGTAAACTAGAGCATTGCTGAACTTCGTCCATTCCGGCCCTAGTTGGGGTAGTTTATAGGTCACTCAGAAAATTGTGACGAAGGGTTTTGCGTAGTCTTGCGGTGCGTTCAAATACTATCAGATGAAGCAGGGAAACCATTTGAGTAGAGGTAAAAAACCAAGAGAGTGAGGTTGTCGGAAGTCGTGCCGTCACGCCATTATCACAATTTTGGAAGGCCCTATAAAGGCTCTCCGGAACTTCACAACGAATAAACCGTAAATTTAATTATGCGAATGCTAACCAATATGCGTTCTGGATCGAAACGTGTCTAGCCTAAAAACGGTTGCCGAAAAAAACTTGAGGTTTACCATCTACAGTATATCGGCTATGTCACACTCTTTCAAATGTATCAAGTGGAAGAAGGCATAACTTGGTATACAAGATGTGCTAAAAGCTTTGTAGCATAGTTTGCACTGCTATAACTTATAGTAAATCTATGCTACTTTCGATTTCAAATTAATGCCACAGGAAGCTGCAATTACCCTTTACAGAAAACATGTTTACAATTTCATAATAAACTTCAGATGTCTTTGAAAAAAATAAGATAATATCGAACCATAACTTTCTGAGAGCGCAGAAATCTATCTCCTTGAGGTTCACAATTTATACTCTAGAGTGTTTGGAATATTCTTGCGCAACTTCATTTCTACAATGTAGAGGAGCCTTTGGTCTAGCATTATGATAACTGCTTTCAAAAAACTATTTCATCGAAAAAGTCAAGCTAAAATCTGAAAACACTAAGTGCGTGATACGGTCACTATGTCTACGAAATAATCTCAAACGTGTTAAAATATAGCAGTCTTGGATCTAATGTGATTTTTCCTTCATATGCCTTTTAGATGAGAATCTAAGTCAAGACGACTGGTAAAATCACTTTCGAAACAACTTGAAGTCTATTTTCTGTTTTCCCTTCCCGGGATTGTGTCCAAGGTCACACCCTGCGGCGTTCCTGTAGTTTCAGTACTAAACTTTACAAAAAATTATTTGTAGTATATTGTAGCTAAAAGCTTGCTCGAGCATACGGCGTATTTATAAAGCCTTAAGATATTTCCGTAAAGGGGTGGGAAGAATATCGAAAGATTGCCTGCGTGCCACGGTAGTGGCAATCGCCTACAGTTTGAATGCTTGTATTAGAGAAAAAAGATACAATTTCAAGACTGGAAAGCTGTATTGTATCTGTCATGTACTGTATCTGTCACATCGCATTAGATGCTAACTCCAGCTCTTTAGTATTCATGAGTCTAGTATATTCTGCTACATCTCCATGCATTCCGTGTCCTCGTCTTCCACATAGTTCGAAGACTTGGATAAATAAGGCGCAAGTACTTCACAAAAAAAACAGAAAACCCCATAGGGCTACTGAGATATACCATTCGCGACGACGATAGAAACTGCTCTGATTTTCTGGATTTCAAAAAGAGAATTTTTGAAATAGGAAGACTTCAGCAGGAAATGGCTGGGAAAGAAATAATTTTATTAGAGCATTATATCTTATCTTTCAAAATAGACCTTTTATTTTACGTAAATATGGATTTAGTACTAGTGTGCATTTGGCTCTGGTGCATGAGGTGCGGAATGCGTGGCCCATTACCAACGAAGATTATAATGGCGGGAAATAATTCATTCAAATAGAATGAATCTTCGAAAGTACATCTGATAACAGTAAGACATGTTTGCTTCAATATCTCTTTACTACGTTTCATCATATCTCTCATGCCTTCACATAAGTTATGTTTTGGACACTTCCTTGAGAACTACTGATGAAAGTGTTTCGACACGGGGGCACCAAGGAAGGTCGCATATCTGGTCTAGTTCTTAGCCCCGAAACCAGTATGCGCAAAAACATTTATAGGTTCTGTCTTTTCTTTGTATATTCTCTTTCTCTTTCCCTTTCCTTTTCTACCTTTAAAGGCTATATTGACACTTCGTTTTCATCTTTGGATAAATAAGGCGCAAGTACTTCACAAAAAAAAACAGAAAACCCCTTAGGGCTACTGACAAGGAAATGGTCAGAAGTCGAAGTGGCACCAAACAAGCTGCCTACCATTCGATACAGCATAAAATACTGATTTCAAAACTGTCTTCCATATCTGCAGAGCGCCTTTGTAGGCGAAGTTATGAGCAGCTTTAGTGCGAAAAAATCGTATACAAAATTTACAAAATTAGGCACATTATTGCACTTTCAGCTCAACTCTAGGTACGGGTCATATGTGACCTAGTTGCATGTTTCGGTCCAACACTAAGCCAAGAATGGCTCGTACGGCCAAGTTTGCACTTTAAATGCACAATTTCTTAGCAAAATAACGGCTTTCAACGGCTTATAATTTCGTCCACAAAAGCGCTCTGCAGATAAGGAAGACAGTTTTAGAGTCAGCGTTTTATGCCTCTCCAGCACATTGCCTTTTGCCAATGGAAAATGGACACATCTGCTCGATCGCGTCCTGGAGTAAATTTTATTATTTGCATTCATCTATTTTAATTAAAAATCACCTTATTGGATGTGATCCCATCATCCATCAAAAATTTTTCCGGTCGAAATTGCATAGAATCTTTGAAGACGGGAGAATGAGCCATAACATGGTAAATAAACATCTAATGGTATGCAGCTTGTATGGATTGGCCACTTCGACTTCTGACCATTCCCTTGTGAGCTATACCATTCGCGATGACAAGGATTGGTAGGTTAAATGAGCGAATGGGCAAAGCAAAGGTTGATTGTTTTTTCCTTTTTCATTTCTCTTTTCTTCTCTTTAAAGCCACCTAAACCACTGGTGAGAGGATTTTAATTCGAACCGGCGACTAGGGAAATGTCAGTTTTCATGCACGTGAGACTTAAGAAATTTCTTCAAAAAAACTTTCTCTGAATTTTTACACGTAGAGCCGATTTTCAATTCGTCCGCGTTGCTTATGGTCTTATTGCTGTCCCCGAAATATATTCATCTTCTATAGAGAAAAATAAGCGTTTTTTCATGGATTGCACCGAGAATTCGCTTCGCTGTTGAAGTAATATGTTTCAGTGCAAAAAAGTGTTTATTTTTGATATAAATTATTTACATAAAGAAATTATATACAGTTTTTTTCTATTGCGTTGCCACTGGAGTGACTCGTAGTTGTTGTGGTTTTGGTAAGAGAACTCCAGCACAGATCGGATTCATGTCCACCGGTTTTCCCTCAACAGGCTCAATCTGCAATATTACCTTATAATTTGCAAAGAAGTGATTTGTGATTTTTTCTTGAATTGACCTTATAATGTTGGAGCATAGTGACTAAACCAGCGAAAAGTTCTGCCTTTGCTAAAGCCTCTCCAGCACATTGCCTTTTGCCAATGGAAAATGGACACATCTGCTCGACCGCGTCCTGGAGTAAATTTTATTATTTGCATTTATCTATTTTAACTAAAAATCACCTTATTGGATGTGATCCCATCATCCATCAAAAATCTTTCCGGTCGAAATTGCATAGAATCTTTGAAGACGGGAGAATGAGCCATAACATGGTAAATATGGCCGATCACATAGGTATTTGCTGGGATTGGAATAGAGCCAATGCTGGTGTCTTTGGTGGTACGGTGATTTGCATTAAGTGAAACGATATTGGCGCATCGCTGAATCTCATGAATAGTAGCCCTAAAAACATAAAGTTGTTTTCCAACACCGTTTTAGGTCCGTGCCAGCGCCGTGTTAGCGCCGGAATGCCGCTCGATCGATACGGGCGGTGTGCCTGCATGTTCCGGCACGGAGTTGGCACAGCTCTGGTTTGCGGCCACTCTGGAAGCTGCCTGAGTAACTATTGTTACTCACATGGTATATGGCATTTGACTCTTGTAGTTGGAGGTTGGTTTCCGATCTGGTCCAAGAACAGACATGATTTCTTTGCGAATTTTGTCCTGTAACAGCATGTACTTCATTATAGTCTAGAAAGTGCGATCGGTTATGCGTGCGACTTCACCCAGAATACGCAGTTGTGCAACAAAATCCAAACTGTTACTAAGGTCATTTATCGTGGTTCTATCCATCGCTCTTTTTCGAATTCTTCAAACTATGTTGATCAAATAGTTTGCTGTTTCGACGCATTTGCACGATTATAAGTTTGTTGAAAAAAATTCCTGCGCTTGCTTTGACTGTCTTCGTATGGAAGTTATTGCTGGAGTCGAAGCTCAAAAATTCACTTTAATTTTGGCGCAAAATTTTCTATTGAATTCATAACCTCGATACATAGAGCCACGTACTCTGGTGACCTTCACTTTGAGGGCTTTGAGGGGACATAACCTTCACCTGGAGAAAAAACGGAAGTCATTCGGGTTCGGTTCAAGCCCCGGATGTTATTATCCTGATAATAGAACGAATGTTAATGAAGCAAATACAGGGAATAATATCTATAGGTTATTTCAGCGAAACCGTGAACTTGCGTTTTCATAGCCTTCTTTAAGTTAAAAAGAAGGTTTCTCTGAAATATACGCCAGAATTCAGGACATTTCTCGGTTAACAACTTATTTGACCAAAATCGAGTTTCAGATGTTTAGGAAAGCTGCTGGAGTTAAATAAAAACGAGAAACTGCGCTCAAATCTTGCGCGTAGAGTCGTGCACAAAAACGCTGGTCTATCTCGTTAATGAGTGATTTTCAA